CCACCTGTCCCTCACCTGTCTGTCCTTCACCTGTCTGTCCCTCACCTGTCTGTCCACCTGTCCCTCACCTGTCTGTCCACCTGTCCCTCACCTGTCTGTCCTTCACCTGTCTGTCCCTCACCTGTCTGTCCACCTGTCCCTCACCTGTCTGTCCTTCACCTGTCTGTCCACCTGTCCCTCACCTGTCTGTCCACCTGTCCCTCACCTGTCTGTCACTCACCTGTCTGTCCACCTGTCCCTCACCTATCTGTCCACCTGTCCCTCACCTGTCTGTCCTTCACCTGTCTGTCCTTCACCTGTCTGTCCTTCACCTGTCTGTCCCTCACCTGTCTGTCCTTCACCTGTCTGTCCTTCACCTGTCTGTCCCTCACCTGTCTGTCCTTCACCTGTCTGTCCCTCACCTGTCTGTCCCTCACCTGTCTGTCCTTCACCTGTCTGTCCCTCACCTGTCTGTCCCTCACCTGTCTGTCCTTCACCTGTCTGTCCCTCACCTGTCTGTCCACCTGTCCCTCACCTGTCTGTCCCTCACCTATCTGTCCACCTGTCCCTCACCTGTCTGTCCTTCACCTGTCTGTCCTTCACCTGTCTGTCCTTCACCTGTCTGTCCCTCACCTGTCTGTCCTTCACCTGTCTGTCCCTCACCTGTCTGTCCCTCACCTGTCTGTCCCTCACCTGTCTGTCCTTCACCTGTCTGTCCTTCACCTGTCTGTCCCTCACCTGTCTGTCCCTCACCTGTCTGTCCTTCACCTGTCTGTCCCTCACCTGTCTGTCCACCTGTCCTCCACAGCTGGAGGACAGACGGTCTCAGGATGCCCCTGTTCTTCAGGAAGAAGAAGCCCAGCGAGGACTCTCAGAAGAGGCTGGAGCATCAGCTGTGCCGGGTGAGACCAGCTGCTGCTGGAGACACGTCCACATGTCTTTAAGGTTTCAGGACAATATGTCTCACCATTAAAGCAGCTCAGAACCTGTCTCCTGTCTCTGAGAACCTGTCTCATGTCTCTGAGAACCTGTCTCGTGTCTTCCAGTCTAAGGAGGTTGGAGCTGATGACATCCTGGACGTCTCAAGCTGTGAGCTGTCCGAGGTCAGGTTAATTAAATTCTGTCCGATGATCCAGAATATCCTCTGGTCTGTGGACCCGCTCCAGGACTTTTACAGTTTTTATTTTCTGAAGGTTCTGATGTCCTCTGCAGGTTCCGTCCAGCGTCTTTTCAATGAGCAGAGTCCTCCAGAAGAAGGTAGGACCGAACCGTCAGGCTTCCTGTTTACTTGTTTACCAACATGTTTACCATAAACAAGAACGTCCCCAGAGGGGTCCTGATGGGTTCAGAGGGGTCCTGATGGGTTCAGAGGGGTCCTGATGGGTTCTGTGTCGGTCTGCTCAGGTCC